GGTCATGACTTCCCGGTAGACTCGCCACCGCAACCAGATGACCTGCGACAATGGAAAGGATCCATGAGCATTCGGAGCGGCCTCTTCCTGGCGGAGCAGGAACGTCCACTCGTCCTTCATCTCCTTGAGCGTCCGGGCTGCCACGTGATCATCGCTGTCGCACACCAGAAAGAACCGCCATGGGAACGACCCGTAGAGGAGCCCGAACTCTGCCAGCCGCCTCAGAGTGGCCACGGTGTGCTTGAAATGCACATTCAGCAATGAAGGAACGTCCTCGGGATCCACGTTCCACACGATGTCTTCGAGATGATGGCGGTCCAAGGCGGATTGCATGATAGACAAGACCAAGTTGGGCCACTCCAGAGCGATGTACCGTTTCATGCGAGCGGCCCCCTCGGGTGTCTTCTCGACCTGCACCTGTTCGTAGGCAACATTGTGCATCGTTTCCATGCACTGACAGCGGCGTAAACAAACCGGAGCAAAGGATCCCTGCTGCACACACACACACACACACCCACCCACACTTCTTCATGAGCAAGGCGGGATTGCAACAGAAGGCTTGCTTTTAGATTCTATGCTTCTGCTGGCTGTTGGCGTAAAGCCTGACTGCGGGGGTCGCTGCGGCTTTTTCTCGAACCAGTCAAAGAGAGTCAAAGAAGGTACTGATTTTTGGACTGTGCCTCAACACAGTCAGGAAGTCACGACAGAGCAAGGTGCGATTGCCGTATTTTCTCAGTCTGGCACTCGAAGATAACAAGGGCGTGTCTTCCAACACGTATCGCAGCGGAAAAAAATTCTGCCTTGCAAATTCCGAAGGCGGAAACCCTGCCATCCCCTCCAGCCTGGAGCAGACAACCTGAAAACCCAACAGGTTTCATTTGTCAAGAAGAAATAAAAATACATGTCCCAAAACACGGCACCTCTGTTGCTTGGAACGTGCGGAACGGCCGCAAGACGTGGAAAGCAGACTTGCCGTAGGCGAAAGAGAGAGGCCGAAGCAAGACCTCGGAGGCAACAGCAGATCAGGAAGCGAACCGATTATTTGTCAGACATTCCGAAAACCTGCCAAGTTCTGTGTCCAAGGCACCTTGATGACCTGAGGGCCAAGAGCCTTGTCATCGTCCGTGCGAGCGGCCAGGCAGTGCAGCGGATTCTTGCCTTCCAGAACGTCCGCATAGAGCATGAAAAAGAGCCGCAAGTGCCACTCTTTGCGGAGCCGCCCGAAGGAATCCACATAATCGGCCCATCTCCCGGAACTATGGTCTGATCCTGTGCCCAGATGACCCTTGGCGTACTTGACGAGAACGTCCTTCACTGCCTCGAGAGGAGAGGCCGGGTCCATCCCCAAATCGTGGAGAATGCCGGGAGCGACCATTTGCACCAGCCGGTGCGTGCACGGGATCGCCTCCACAAGCTCCCTCGCCTCCCGCAACCGTCGGCCGAAGGCCGAGGTCTTCCACGGAGCCTTGTCGTACTTCATGATCAGGAGCACCTGCTTCTTGGAGAGAGCGACCTCGGGAACGTCTTGAGCGGCCAAACATTCTTCACGGTGGAGCTTATGCATGGAATCTCTATGGATCATAATGGAGAGGCCGTGATTGGCCATCTGAACGGCCATGCTTGTGTCGCCTTCGTCTTGCAAGCAGCTGAGCCGAAGGCAGCTGTCGAACCCCACATGATCCGTCGATTGCCATGTTGCAGCTTTTGTCTGAGCATGCCAAAGATAAGCTCGCTTGAGCCCGTCTTTCTGAACATAATGCCGGGTCTCGCCCTCCTTGACTGGCCTGAGCTTCCGAGCCGGAAGAGCGTCCGACAACCGGAACCGAACGAGCTGGTGCAGCGAGTGGTTCAAGGCCAACATCTTCTGTCTGGTGGACACTTTTTCGTCCTTACAGAGATTTTTTCGAAGGCTCTTTGGATTCTGAGAGGCCAAATCTCCCAGGGCCTCGACTGTCTCCAAGTTTTCTTGGATCGTCGTCTCTTTGGTGGTCTTCAGTGCCGGCAGCAAGCTCAGAGGACAAGTGATAATCAAGCCATCACAAGAGCAGTGGATGGTCAGGACATTGTGAGTGGCCACGGACGATGCATCTTCGTACCATGTCAAGTGTCGGAAGACCTGTTTCTGAAGCCGCTCCAACAGGAGAGTTGCAGAGCTTGCAAAATATGCCGTCACAAATTGATCCGCTGCGACCCCTTGAAGGTTGCGGGATTTCGTGCCTGGAAGTTTATCCGGCACGATGTCCTTGTTATCTTTGTTCTGCATGCCTGTTATAAATCCGCTGCCACGTGCAAGAAATCGAGTCAAGAGCTGTTCTCGAACAAGGTTGGCCGTGCGGCTCGCATTGCCGCTGGAATACGGAGATTGGCCGTCCATATCCTCGGAGAGTCCAGGGCTTGTGTGGAGCTTGATGGAACCATCTGCACAGCTCCTCTCGACTGCCTGTGCGAGGATGTGGAGGAGCCGCTTCTGCACCCGCTCAATCGGGATGCACTGCAATGCTTCCTCTGGCTGCAGCCTAAACATGAAGAACCAAACATCAGCAATTGCGACTTTGCCCCGGTAGTTGGATCTGGAGTGACCCAGTGCCAAGGCACTTTCCCACCTGAATGCAAGGGCAAAAAGAAGGTGAGGCCGTGTCAAAGGAGTTTAAGCCAACCCCTGGCCTTTTGTTCAAGATTCGCGTAGCATCTGCTCCGAACTTCTTGAAGAACTTTTTGATGCTGACACATCCCTCCTGAACCTGCAAGCTGCAGTCCGGCAGGAGGGCCAAGCAATCCATCTTGACCAGGGAGAAAATCTTTCGCAAGAATCCAATGATGTTCTTCTGTGTCTCGAGGCTAAGGCCACGAATGACAGTCAACATAGCGAACACGAGCAGCAAACCCAGCGAGCTAGAACAATCGTGTTTGACACCAGGCAGCATGTAAACTGATTCATGCTCGCCCTTGTATGTGTCTGTTCTTACCAAGTGGCGCATGGAAATTTCCCATCGCTGCGAAGCCTCCGAGAAAAGGCCTTTGTGTAGGTTCTTTCCGAACCATGCATAGTAGCTCACGGACATGTCCAGAATCCGCCAAACGTCTGCCATGCAGACCAAATACTCGTAGCCCTGACAGTGGTGCTTGGCAGTAGGAACGACCTCGGGATGCTATGAGGAAAAGCAAGACATAATACCAGGAATCTCGGAGCTCTCCAGGCCTCGCAGCCCTAAAACTGAGACAAATTACACCTAGTGCAGCAAGGTACCTTGACGAATGTCAGAGCGATCGGATGCCGCAGAAAAACCAGCGAGTGCTGCACGACGTCCGGGTCACCGGCAGCAGTCTTCTCAGCGATCTTTGCGATCTCCTGATCCAGCAGGCTCAGGGCTGGAGCTTCCCTCTCCCCCTCGTCCGGCGGCAAGGGGAAGTCGACGGCTAGCCGGATCTCCCTGACACATTCATCCAGGATCGGAGCAAGAGGAGGTTGATTGTCCAGAGTGGACAGCGGACGAGCATTCTTTGCCGCGAACTGCAAGGTGACCACGAGCTTCTGCAGTTTTTCAGGCTCGGCCCTCTTTGCAAAAAACAGAGACAAGATCTTTTGTCGCTGCTGCTCCCCTTGGGCCGGCTCAACCTCCATTTTTGGCAGGATTGGCTGTGTTATATCAATTCTACTTACACATTCTGATGTTATATGGGACAATTGCTCATGACCTGCTTGGACTGTACCATTATCATTTCAACATGGCAAAGACTCATGTGTCGAAGCCTCCGCTTCAAATTGTTCGCTTGCATGCGAGCGAATCGACTGCAGTGTCTCTATGAGCCATTCATGTTTCGAGGCGAAAACAGGAAGTACTGCTGCAACGAGGAGGGGGGTGGCCAAGGAGGATTGTATTGTCCACTGGGGCAAAAGACTTCTTGCTTCTATAACACTCCACAGGTTCTAGAGCCCTCCCACTGAATCTAAGGCGACAAGTCTCTCGAATCTGCAGAGGCCTCGCTAGAGACCAGGTCGGAGACACGTCCACATCGATTTTGTTTGCCGACCTTAAGTGCGGATGCCCATGCATCCCATGAATGCACGGATCAAGAACAGTATGCACTACTCCTTCACAGGATGCAGGAACCTACGTGAAGGGACCAACAACAGGTCAGAATAGACACAAGCCTAAGTTTTGTCGAGGACAATGTGTTGCATGCACAACCAGAAGCAAGGCTACCATTGTTCCATAAGAGAGTCGCTCTCTCATACAAAACCCCGAGCAAACATGGTACAATATGAGACTGTAAGCTGGGCTCCACACAACGGAATTGTGCTCTGTCAGACAAGCTCTAGATTAAGCCTGTCCTGTTCCTGCCTAAGCCAACCTGGGCTGGCTGGTAAAGTCAAATGGCCCCAATCCCAAAGTGGTGGAATTCCGCAGCTTCAGAACCCACAACCCGGAACTCAGGAACCAGCAGGGAACCGGAGCGGCCTGACCAAATCGTCCGGCGAGGGTGTGCGATGCGTGGCAGTCGGACCTCGGCAAAGACTGCAGCCCCGGGACTTCTGCCTAAACTCAGCTCATCTGGCTCTGCACAACCGACAATTCCTTCTGCTGGTTTCCACAAGTGAGGAGGTCTTCTCAGGAGTTTCCACAAGTCATACAGTCATCTCGTGTGGTTCATTTTTTTTTTCGTCTGTTCGGTTTTCAAAAAACAAACGAGAAGGCACGCAGTCGCGGAGAAGACCACATGGTGCGTTTGTGGTGTAAACAAGCCATCAGGTCTTCTCCCGGTGACGTGGTCTTCTCAATTATTTTAGCCGGCCCCGAAAAAAAAAAAATCTATCGAGAAGGCACGCAGCAGCGGAGAAGACCCGCAGCAGCGGAGAAAACCCGCAGACCCGCAGGAATTCTTTTTTGCACGTGTGTCGCTGACAGGCCCTCAGTTAGTCGAACCCACCACTACAGACCAGGGTCATCCAAAATCTCCCGAACACCAGAAGAGAACGGCCGATGTTTAGCACCGACGACCTAGAGGGAGAGCCCAGATGGCGGGCGCTTCACAATCGCCTCAGCAAGAGCTGTGACAACCAAGCTCTCAGGACTGGCCGGGCTTGGTGGACATGGCGTCCAGAACGGCCTGGCACATCGCCTGCCCAGATGGAACAAAGGTGAGGACACTGCTCCGGAATGATTGTAGGACACAGGTCTTGCCTCGTCAGCTAGCATCTTCTCAAAGAGATCGCTGGCACTTCGGACTCCTTGAGCAGCCAAACGTTCGCGGACATCAGGAAGTGCCTGGGCCGAGTTTGCAACAGCATGCACCTCTGGAATTTCTAACCCGGAAGATCACAGCTGCACTGAGCTTCAAGTCGAGATTCGGAGTCCTGAGCGGCCTGAGCGGGAACGGCGGGAGCGGGAACGGCCGGAGCGGGAACGGCCGGAGCGGGAACGGCGGGCACCAACTGCTGAAACTTCGGATCTGCCCACAGGTCGGAATCATCCGGTGGGATTCCGACCTGTGGGCCACCGCCGGGCAAGACTTGTGTCGTTGAGCTCTCATCTGAGCCCTCTTCGTCGTCATCGTCCCCGTCGTCGCCATCGTCGCTATCCTCTTTCTCCACTGTGGATTCCTCGTCAGGATTGCCCTTGGATCCCTTGGATCGGCGCCTCTTCTTATTTTTGGCGGGGCCACCGTCCCCCGTCTCCGAGTCTCTGCGCTGATCGGCCTTTGGCCCTTTCGACATGACCTTGGCTTCGACCTTTTCCAGGTCATCCTTCGCATCTCGCTTGAGCTTCTCAATCAAAGACTGCACTTGCTCGGGAAAGCGCTTGGATCCCTTGACATTGTCCCGAATCCTCGGGAAGAGACTCTTCCTCAACTGAACGACCGTTTGGAACTGAAGCACCGTGTTCTTGCGGCTCTTGCTCAGCAACTTCCTCGGGACACAGAGAAGACTGGGATTCATAGTGACGGACAAAATTACACGGTTGAACGTCGATGCAACCCAGATGCTCCAGAACGGCCAGAATCCTGTCCTTCCATTTCTTCTCCGCCAGGATAAAGACCTGTTGAGCCTCTACAAAGATCTTCTTCGCATCGACGTTGTGGGGGTCTTTCTTGGAGGCCTTCTTCGGTGGCTGCAAGCCCTTCATGTTCTTCTGTGCAAGCGACCGGGCTTCTCCGCCAAGCTCGTGAAAGTCCATGATTGTTAGAGTGCCCAAAGATTTGTGTGACTCCGCCATCAAGAAGATTAACTGCTCCTCAATGCAAGAACATATCGCACAACAACAGTCTCAGGGAATGAAGATGCTTCAAAGGATGTCTGCTGCAGCTTATCCATGCAACCCAGGAACACAGGTCATGTTCTCGAAAGACACCATGTCTTTCAGCTTCAAATCTTTGCCTTTCAGACCCAACTGCAGCTTCAGCTCCTCCATGATGGAATCCTGAGTCATCTCGTCCGGCTCCGAATCAGAACGGCCTGAATCTGACTCCGAATTGGAGTCTTCCTGGCTGCTGCTACTGCTGGAGTTCTTCTTGGATTTTTTCTTTTTCTTGGCAGTCTTCTTCGACTTTTTCTTCTTCTTCTTGTCCTTATTCATGAGTCTCTCTCTGGCCCTCTTGCTCGCCAGAATCCCGGCGGCCATATCCTCCTGAATCGAGAATGCATGGGACTGCAAATAGGAAGCAGCTCAAAACAGAATCCGACCATGCCCGCCTTCATGCGATCAACACTGGAATCCAGGGCACTCATGAGCTCCGGTTTTTCCTTGCCCGGACTGCCCGCATTGGGGGAGGAAGCGACTGATGCCAGCGAGGCATTCGTGTTCATTCGCCGCATGGCGCTTGCAAGGATCAAAGCCGATATGCTCTCGAAGCACGGCAAGGATGCATTGAATGCAAAGCAGCAAAATGGAAGACGGAATAACAAGGCCGCATGCAGCACACAGGGTATACACCGTTGGCCGACCCTCCAAAGCCTGATGCAAGAATGCGTGTGGATGGTCTGTTGCGGAGGCAGCTGCAGTTTGTGCGTCTTTTTCTCGTGCTTCGCAGGACGAAAGTCCCCATATATCCTGCTTGGCTTTGATACGGAATCGACCGGCAGCAGACACCGAGCGGCCGAACTCGGAAATCACAGTCAGGCCTGTATGTCTATGTGTGAGTGGCCCAGCAGTGCCCCCACTAACTCTCACACCGCACAAAGGCCATGCGACCCGGTTCTTGCTAACTTGAGGCCGCAGACGACAGTAAGTGAACTTTATCGGCGAAGTGCTTGTCGCTGGTGGGATAGGCCGATTGTCCAGGAACATCAGGAATCATTCAAGGCAGGTTTGTCCTGCAGAAGCGGTCGAGGCGAACAAGACACGGTCACAACAGTAAAAGAAGGGCCTAACTCTTGCATGAATGAAAACAGGGGGTCACTGAAGGAAGGAGGCGGATCCTGGTCGTCGCCAGTGAGTCGCCTGACTTCCGGCACTGCCTTCCTCAAGTCCTCCATGGCCGTGCTCATGAAGTCTTTGGTGCGGCCGACAAAGTCCATCTGAGCACGTCGCAAGGCTGTCGCATCCTGAGCAATTTCTTCTGCCTGAGGGATGAGATCGTCCATCAGTGAAGCCTGTGAGCACAACCCCTTCTCGCAAGCAGCAGGATCGATACTGGTTAATTTCGGAACCAACAAGTGTGCCGAGACACGAGGCTCTGGTATCTATCGGAATTGGACTTGCTCTTCAGAACTTGGACCGACGTGGACAAGAAGTGCGGCAACTTCATCAACCTGGCGACACCGGCCAAAGAAGAATGGACCAGCAATTCAAGCCGGACGGAAGCGAGGCCTTCGCATGTCTTCGTCCAGATTCTCAGGATCGACAGGTTTGGGGTCCTCAGAAAGGAGGAACGAAAGAATTCTGCGGGGGGAGAAGCTCCAACCTTAGCGGCCCATCGTCCTGAGCGGCCAAATATTTATTTCCCAGAATGTAGATGAGAGCGTCCGGCGATAGTTCTGGCTTGTCCTGTAAGCTTCTTGCAGCATGTTGTTGTTTCTCACATGAATATTCAGAAATGCGACTCTTGGATTGGGGGTGTCCTCTATCGGCTCCGTCTTGACGATTGGCTGCTCCATCTTGGGCTCCTTCTTGACAGGGGTCTGGTTCCGATGTGTACAGACCTGAACCGAAGCAGGCCAGCAAAGATGGAACTCGACGGCCGGGCATGCAGAGGAAGAAATGCAGCCGAGGTGCTCTGCCATATAGTCGACAAGTGGAGCAGCTTTTGTGTCTGTCGCCCTTTCGAGAGTCCTTTGGCGGCGTCTCTGCATCCAAAGTGACCGCTTTGCTCTTGGCTTTCAGGGGAGTGGCGAACTTGCTCTTGACCATCTGAGACCTCAGCTGTGGCAAGGCCATGTCCGGGGGCCCTGTGGACGTGGCATTTGCTGACAAATGTACTTCAAGGCTTAAGGCTTTGGGTTGGAAGTTTTCAATCGTTTCTAGCTCGCTCGTTGTGCAGCTTCTGGTCTGGAGAACTTTGCGGGCCCCAGCAAATCCTGTTTCTCATAATTCTGCTCGGATTGGGTCTGGCGAGCTTAGGGATCTTACTCCATCAGCTCAGAATGAAGCCATCGGCCGGGTCAGTCGCCGAGAATTTATGTTTGTTAGCTAGAGCGATCAGGAGATTTCCGGAGACCCACTGGACCCACACTTGGATTGCCAAGCCTCCGATTGCAAACAAGCATGTAAGCCAAGATACGCTACGAGAGCGAGCTGCTGGATCTCCGCCCAACACTAGCACAAAGGACGTCGCTCGGAGGAGCAAGCCCGGTCCCACGGACGACTCTCGAACCCGAAAAAACTGCAAAACACAGCAGGGACGGCATGCTTGCGTCAACATGAAGCTGGCAGCCAGCCTGTGCATGACTGGCACTGCGGGATTGAAAGCACAACGGCCAAAGACGGCTAGCTCTACTACTGCTCTTTTCGTTGCTTTCCTCGATTCTTGTTTCCATATCTCTCTCTCTCTCTGTCTCTCTCTGGCTCTCTCTCTCTCGCTCTCTCTGTATCTGTCTCTCTCGCTCTCTTTCTCTCTCTCTCTCTCTCTCTCTCTCTCTCTCTCTCTCGCTCTCTGTCTCTCTCTCTCTCTCTCTCTCTCTCTGTCTCGCTGTCTCTGTCTGTCTACAGGCACGGAACTTCCATAAGGCTTCAGTTTGGGATCTACGTTCGAGTGCTTCTTCTCAGGGCTTCTTTCCCCTCTCCACAGACCGGAGAAAACTTCTAGCGGGGGGCTGCACGGTTACCCTAAACCCTAAAACCTTAAACCGACACGTTCGACCTGTAGGGCCGCTGCAAAGCGGTTTCCGCGATCTGCCTCCATCGTCGAGAGATGACCTTAAGTTGAGGAAAGCCTAGACCCCCCAGGGGCCCTAATTAAACCCTAAACTACCTCGGGGTTTAAGGTTTCGGCTTTGGGAAGCTAGGAGCCCTTCACGTAAACCCAAGAAGCACTCCGAGCATTGCATGCGAAATCAGTCGAGATCTTTCTGGGGCCGCATAAACACAGGGCATCCTACTAAACCCCAAAGCCTTGACCCGAAACCGTGAACCCTGTTTGTGCTTGTGCATCGTTTTCGTAGATTCATGGACCCGAAATCTCCGAAGACACTTTGCTGCTTCCGAGAAGAGGAACTCAGGCTGAGGCCAAAACAGGTTGGGCACCGTGTGCGAGGAGGTGATCGCCTTGCCGAAGGTCTTGTTTTGCAGGGATTGGAAGCATGATGTTCAATGCTGGTTGGAGATTGAGGCTCAAAATCAGGCAACGTCTGCGACAGGACGGGCACAGGGACAATCGATTGGGCTGCTTATTTTGACGAAGCTATTGCAATGAAGGTGCAGGGAAACCAAGATGGCTTCATGGAATGGCTGTAGCACGAGGTCTTCGCATACTCCAAAGGCAAGATCGCGGAGCATTGTGTTCCATGTGAAGCGACACCCCAAGCCCAAACACCCAAACCCTCGGCTTCACCCCCTCACATGGCCAAGACATGTCTGCCATTTGATCATGTTAATTGAGACGGTGCACTCCTTCCTGAAGTGCTACGTAGGTGGAAGCATGACTTATTGCGGCACTGAGCATCACTGCAGACTACTAACACCGGCGCTCGTGCCCAGTCTGCCTGACGGCGAAGATTGGCCCGGCAGAACCTCATGAATGCAGGAACGAAGTAAGGGCTTCAGAGGGCTTTGGGAAATCGATGCCGAGTTGGCCTTTGATGCTCCTGTTGCTGGTCTTGCGGCTGGAGAGTTTGAGGTGAACCTTGAAGGCGATATCTAGGTGCCTGATGATGTTCTGAAAGGTTCTGGAAATCGACCCGACTATGTCACTGACTGATGACAACGAATCGTTTTACTGTTACAGTAGTGTCGCATCGGACGATGATCAAATGTAAATCGAGCCCCCTGAAGGAAAAATCTGAAGACCTCATGGATGTTCAGCCTGAGCCGCTGGAAAGGGTTTGCAGTTGGTGACAGGTTGGAGAATCGAGTGGGCATTGGGAACATTGCAGCACCACAATCAAGAAGACCCTAGAGTCGTGCCCCAACCTTCTTTAAGTAAATGCGGACCTAGTCTAGTACCCCAAAATATTTACAGAAACACGGGCTTAGTCTAGTATCCCGATCCGATTAGAATAACCAGCATCCCAACCCTATTTAGGTAAACCGGGAACTTTCAAGTAGCCCCAGTTGAAGAAACCCGGACCTAGTGTAGTATCCCAACAGTACTAGAGTAAACCCTGACCTCGTGTGGTAGTCAACCCTATGAAAAGAAATATGGACCTAGTCCAGCATCCTTACCGTCTTGAAATAGACCCGGACTTAGTATAGAATCTCAACCCACGAATAATAAACCCGCACTTAATCCAGTATCCCAATACAAAGACCTCGTCTAATATCCCAAGCTCGGCCAGACCTAGTCGAGTATCCCGACCCGAATTAAGTGAAGCCTAACCTGATCTACTAGGCCAACCCCATGCAACCAAATACCAGCAAGGGACGTCCCATTCCGGGGAAGCCGAGATGCCGGCCGAACCAGCAAGATCGGCCAGCTGGAGCCTGGCGACTTGGCCTAAGCAGCTGCGGAGGACACAGGGTGCGGGCCCAAAGCAAACCCCGGCGAGGCAGAAAAGCGCATCTGAGGGCTCAGCCTCTTGGAAGAAGCAGAAACAGACACCTGTCCGAGACACCGCAATCATCGGCAATCTAGGAGGAAATTCTCCATGTCCCGCTCAGAATGAACAGTGCAGTGCAAACTCGGCTTTTTAGCCAGCCGATTGTTTCCCTCGGGATCTGCCATCGCGGTCACCAGGATCGCTTCTGCCACTGTTGCCTGAGCATGTAACAACAGGATGATTCGCCCCTGCAAGCATGCGTGGTCTCAGCAACGACCACCGGTTCTGAAAGGCTATGTCGAGCAGCTTCTGCCACCATCCGGAATCCTCTTCTTCCTCGTCATCGTCTTTCTCATCGTCCAATGGATCAACGGCCCGGTCTCGGTCGAACGGACAAAGAAAGACCCAAAGTTTTAGAGACTCACCAGCAAGACCTGGGACTGCTCACCGAGGCACACAACAGATCGGCCGATCGTCTGCAGTACTTCACGATGGTGTTCTGGGGATACTGCCAGGTCTCCAAGCCGCGAAGAATACTGGGCCCCTTCCCACGATCCTTCAAGACCTGGCCTGATTGAATGCGATTCGCATCACTGTCCGCTTCAAAGCTACAAGAAGGAGCACTCGTGAGAACTCTTTGCAAGCAAGAGGCCGAGCATGAGCATCCCGAGTCGCATCGCCATCGAGCGGCCGCGGAGAGATTGCTCTGCCAGGGAGTTCAAGGCGCCATAAACTTCAATCTCCATGGTCCCCATATGGGCCAGGCACCAGCTGACCTCGACATGGAGCGTCCTTGTTCTGGCCAAGACCTGAACTGAATCGGAGACTGTGTTGCACAAGGCAAAAGACACCAACAAGACGGTTCATCTGGCCGGGACACGAGCTGCTCTAACTCCGTGACATCATCAGCTGACCTTGCCGATGTCGATGAAGGAAACTGGGTATGGAGCAGCTCTGGAGCAAGGGTCTGGCATGAAATCTCCGGCATGGCTCAGAAACGGATGGCTCTGACAGTCGTGTCTCGAGTGGTCTGAAAGTCCTACAGTGGTGCGAAAGTCCTCTGTGAAATTTGGAGAGGCCTGTGCAGTGGCCGAAAAGTCCCTTTCGGAGAGGCCTGCGGAGTGGCCCAAAATTTTCAAAGTCCTATCCTTGTTGTCTGCATGAACTCACTCCTCGATACTGCAACAGCTACACTCCTCTTGACAGCTACCATGCTCGAGGACCCCAGACCCAGCACCTTGGCTGGGCCGCACAACTTGAGCACCCGAATCTTCCGAAGGAGAGATGAGATGCTCCGACAATGCACAAGCCAAGCAGAAGTGGCACATCATAAAGGACGTGTTCGCGGCAGCGTGCAGTGCAATGCAAGACGACCAAAGAGTCGGCAGGTTTTAAAGCAAAGGTCTGGCCTTGTCAAGGGCCCGGATCGCAGCAATCCACAGCGAAGCTTCGAGACCTGGGACGTCAGTCGCAGTGGGTGTCTGCACATGGCCAAAATGAAAGAGAGCAGTGCAGTTCAGGCAAGGCAAGGCAAGTCAGCTCCGTTTTGTACGATCGTCCGCCGCTGCACACTGCGACCTAAAGTCACTGCCGACTGTAACCTCCCCGAGAGCCAGAGCTCCCGTGCGACTTGAACAGCACGTCGTCGGCAATGTCGAGCCCCAGCCGCTCATCTCAGCGACACGAATAAATCACAAGGGACATGAACCTGATATGACAGTGTGCAGCAGCCGATGCAACAACCCCTAGAAACTGGAGATTGCCTCTGCGGTCCAGAACGGCCAAGGAGCTGATGCGCTCGACGGCTTTGCAGCAGTGATCGACCGTCACTTTATCCGGATCGTCCCATGATCTCGCACCGATCGTCCGCTGCTGAACATCCGGAGAGGCCAGGAGATTCTGACCTCAACATGTGACATGCCTTGTCTCTTTTGCTTGTCCGAGCACGACATGCCCATGCTGCTTGAAGCCAGGGTGCGGATGAGCTTGTGACCGAAGTTCTCCATCGACTCTTTGCCCTCGAGGCTGTGCTTGCCGAGCAGGGACAAAGCCTATGAAGCCGAAATCTCAGCAGCGAGCTACGACAGGAACTCCAAGAAGGATGTGCAGCCAAGTAACAACGTAAGAGCTGACATCCATGTTCAGCTTGGCCATCTGCAATGCCAGATGGGGATGCTTGGCCTGGAACTCCTTGATGACCTGCTCGGAGAGTCCTTCTTGAAGCTCTCGGCGAATCTGATAGGCCGACTTGTCTGAGCCAGGATGCAAAAAACACAAGAGCCACTCCATCGGTGAATCCGTTCGCTGCTCTGCTGCCGGCCTCTGGGGATCGTCTGAGTGGCCTTGTCCACGAGGATCACGGTCTGAGTGGCCACATCCTGCTTGCGGCTCGAACACTGATGAGTTTCGTCCGACAATCAAGTCACACACAAGAGACGGAGACGAGCCTGTGTCGGCATGCTGATCTTGTTCCTCGGAGCCCCAGAAGCCGCACCAGCACTGCCGCTCGCCTGGCAAATGATTGTATCTGACCAGGATGGTGTCACATACGAAAGAAAAGAAGCTGCAAGCGTGTCTAAGCCACCATGCTTCTGCACGAGAGGAGCCACAGCAGCTCTCGCACAGCTCAGCTAAATCTCCTGTGTAAAGTGCTCCGATGTACTAATTGTTGAGGCTTCGCCCGGTCTGATTGTGCATTGGTAATCTCAACGGCTGGCATGCCACCATGTCCGAATGTTCATGCATGCCATGTAAGACCTCATGCCAGCAGCGAAGAATCGGAATGCCGTGCAAAGCTGACGAACTCAAAGGAAAGCACTGCAAGCGACATCGCATTAGTGTGATTCCCCAGGGCCCTGACTGCTGGTTCGGATTCGCGAACGACCAGAAGAATGGACCGGCCTATGTAAGTTGGCGCACTCATGAGGGTTGCCAGTTTAGGGTCGTCGGGTTGCGGGTTTAGGTTTTCGAATGGAAAGCTAGAAATCCTAAGTGCATCCGGAATCGTCCAAAAGAAAGTGCATGAGCCCCTTTCATTGCACAATGGCTTAGGGTGTGTCAGGGCTCGGGGTTTAGGCGGGGTTAGGGTTTTTGATGGAAAGGCCAATGTAAAAAAGTTGGACCAAACTTCGCATACAGAACCAGAATGTAACGGATGTCTAACTATGTTTCTTCATATGTATACACATACTGGTTTTTTCCGTATGTATACACTGACCTTCAGGCCTGCACAGATACATACATACATAGATACATATATAAATATAGATGCACACATCCATGCATGCATACATACATAGCACCGGCTATAAGCAGGGCAGCCATATTTAGGATGTTTTACAACCCTGCTTAGCCCTACTTATAACCCCACTTACGAAGTCCCCGGGGCATCTGAGTGGGGTTATTGCAAAGCTGAGTAAGGAGGAAGCCTCGTTCGCGAACGGAATTGACCAGACAAACCACTCCAGCACTCAACAACGGTCATGCACATGTCGGCTAAGGCTAAGGTCTCGTGACAAATCACTCCACCAACCAAAGCCCAGTGCCGAGTCCGCCTGCCCTTCGCGAAAGCCGCCGGGCAGCAATCCTGCACGAGAGCACGAGAACGGGTTAAGCCCTTAGCACTAAAGGTATGATAGAGTCACTCGCACACACACACACACACACGAACACACACACACACACACAAACACACAAACACACAGACACACAGACACAGACCCACACACACACATATATATATATATGTAAATATTAATATATATTAGTATATATTAATATATATTAATATATATATATATATATATATATATATATTACATATATTATATATAATATATATTAATTAATATATATTAATATATATTAATATATATTAATATATATTAATATATATTAATATATATATATATATATATATATATTAATATATACATATTTATACACACGCACACTACAGAGAGACACTGAGACAGAGCCACACACACACAAAAGAAAGAAACATGCGCATGCACTGGCACTTGATGGGCACTCCTACGGGGGGGGCTGGGTCGGGTGCCCTGAAACTAACGGGTTCGGGAAACCAGGGATTTAAGGCTTTAAAGAGGGAACCATGCAGCACACATTTTTGCTCAGGAACTCGCCCCTCGTTCAGACGGAATTAAAAAGCCAGGCAAATCACTCCACCACTCAAGAACGGCCGTGGCCAGGAAAGGCAGCCATTGTCATGTCTCGTTCGTTAACGGAAATCAGACAAATCACTCCACCACTCCAGAACGGCCACAGCCAAGCCTGCAGGCCTATGCCGGTCTCGTTCGTTCACAAAATCGACCAGACAAATCACTCCACCAGGCTAAGAACGGCCCATGCCCAATCACTGATCGTCCTTCTTCGTCTTCTTGTTCGTCTTCACACGATCGGCCTTGGGCTTGTCGTCCTTCTTCTCTTTCTTCTTCTTCTCGCTCGCCGCCGGCTCGTACTGCCCTCGGAACTCGGAGAGGCCGACTGTATCAAGGAACCTGGTGATCTCGTTCCGCGAGTGAGCTATGTCCTCGTCCTCATCTGTCGTGTCGAAACTCGCCTCTTCCAGGATCTCGGTCCGGCGCTTCCGCTTGGAGATGCGGATCATGAGCTTAATCAAGCCCTTTTTCTCAGAGCTCGTGAGGGACATGGCTGCAACGACGAGAAGGCTACAGCTGCAGAGTGATGAGTGAGTGATGAGTGAGTGAGTGAGTGAGGGAGTGGCCAGTGACTCAGAGCCGTGCATGTATGTAAGTAGTGACATGTGTGTGTGTGTGTCTGTTATGTGCGTGTGCACGTGTGTATTTGTCTACATACGTGACATGTGCCCATGGCCTGCACGACCAATGCCGAATTATTCCCTCAGCCTTGAGCAAATCACACAGCCGAAGGATTCACCACAGCACGAGGCAAAATGCCAAACCCACAACAAGCCCTCGGTCAGGAGTCCTTCAGAGCGGCCATGGCGCAGAAGTCCACGAAGATCGCCCGACCAACTCAGTAGGAAATGGGCAGAAAGCATCCAGTTCAAACATGCAGCAATCCCAACATGTCGGAGTGGGAGTGACCCTTCCTGAATCCTGAACTTGAGTAGCCCCCCTAAGTCTTATCAATCAAACCCAAGCCCCGGGCTGTTGAGCCATCCTCCGATGGCCATTGGATCCTGACCTGGGCAAGCAAAGGAGGAGGGTGGCCCGGAGGCAAGGCCAAGGCACAGGACATTGGCAGGGCCGAAGATAAAGGGAGGGCACAACGAAGGGACGAAAAGATCTCTCGAACTTTCAGCCCCTAAACCAAGGAAATCAAGTCAGGAGCTCGGTCCCCGGCCCGGCCATGACGAAATCGAGGCCATCACCTTCAATCGAAATGCAACAGACGATAGCTTCGTGGGTGCTAGAGCTCATGCAGTTTTTCAATTCCAGAACCGATACCGTGTAGTTCAGTGAGAACCCCCGGCCTCCACCACCAAGCCGACTCCATATGGTGCCAGCCATCGAAACTTCATTGAA